CTAAATAGTATCTTTAATGCAGAATAGCTGTGCCTACTTCTCAGGAAGCACACTAGATCCTAGTGGCAAATACAGTTCTATCTGGTGCAGATATCGACTTGGTTCACTTCCTTTTTTTTTTAATGTTTATTTATTTTTGAGGGGGGCGGGCAGGACAGAGGATCCAAAAGGATCCAAAGAGGATGTGGTGTTGAACTCATGAACCGTGAAGTCATGACCTGAGCCAAAGTCCAACGCTTAACCAACTGAGCCACCCAGGTGCCCCCTGGTTCACACTATCTTTTTTCAAAGTTTATTTATTTTTGAGACAGAGAGAGCACGCAAGAGAGTGAATGCACAATCGGGGGAGGAGCAAAGAGAGGGGGAGACACAAAATCCGAAACAGGCTACAGGTTCTGAGTTGCCAGTGCAGATCCTGATGCGGGGCTGGAACCCACAAACTGTGAGATCATGACCTGAGCCAAAGTCTGACACTTAACCATTGCTAATTCCTTCTCTACATCTCGACCTGAACAGCCTACTCTCACCAGCATGCACATCAGCGGTTGTATACCTTTTCTGAGGACCGAGGACTGAGAACCACCTGGACTCATCCCTCTTGACCAGGAAACGGATGCCTCCATTTGGCACCTCTGTTTCTAGCTCACCTACATCCCATTCCACTCACATGACTGCCTAATCGTCTGCTCTTCGGAAGTTAGAATTTGCACTAAAGCTCATTTTACATGAGATTGTCTGATACGACACATTTATAACCCGAGGAGACCTTCATTCAGCTCTTTCAAAATGTACAACTTTCAAAAACTCTATACTTTTGTTCACTTTTCCCTTGAACCTATAAAATGTTTCTTCATAGATCAGAGCAGCTTTTGAAGAGAGTTTCCGCAGCCTCACAGTGACGGGGGTGGGGTCGGGTAGGGACAGGCATTGCATTACTGGGCATCAGGCACTGGGAGGCAGTGCATGTGCTATTCACTCAAGTTTCACAACAGCCCTGTAAGATGAGTAGAATTTTCTCCATTTTATGGGTGGTGAGATGGATGGTCCCCTCTCCATGATTGCACAGCCGGTCAGATCACATTTGGAGTCCCTTGTCCAATTCCTAGGGTCACATGAAGCCAGGGGATAGTATGTCTGTTTAGGATGGTCCTTCAACAAGGAGATGCCAAGATTAGATGTATACGCTATTTATTGGGGGAAATACCTGTGAAGGTTCAATGGGGAGGGAGTGGGACAAGGCAGGGAGAGCCTTCAGACCAGGACTGTGAAAACAGAGAGGAAAGAAGGACTGAGGAGGAAGGGCCTCAGACCACAGCATAGTCCTGAGAAAGTCTCCACTAAGTGGATGGGGTGTCCCTGAGCAAAGAGACAGCAGCTGGTGTTGGCAACACCATCCTGTGGCAGACCCTTGAAAAGGAGCTGACAGGTGCACGTCCATGGCTGCCATGGGTGCAAGTTACAGAGGGACAGACCAAGTACTTACAGAAAGCACATTTTAATCATCAATGCCAATGGCCACTCCAAGGTCATCGAAACGGCCACTTAGATGGAGGGGTGTGACCTCTGAATGCAGAGGGGTGCAGACTTCTGAATTTCATGGGCCAGGAAAACCAGGAGACCAGCTAAAGTCACCAAGTTTTGTGTTTTTTTTTTTTAATTTCTCCAAATAAGGATATCAATAGCCCAATATTACTATCATTTACTATAAGATACTTTAAAACCTCCCCTACCCCTCAAGCAGGAAGAGCATAATGTCAGACAGAGTAAAGTCCTTGAAGCTGAATAAATTTGGAACAGTGAAAAAATGAGAATATGTTATTCTTGCTACTCTTGTTTTACTGCAGTTTAGGTAAAAGTATGCTCATGGACTGGGTCTCAAAACACAGTAATAGGGTATTTAAGTACAGGATGGGGCACTGGACCCAGAGTCTTCTGAGGGAGTTTCCAACCCCGAGATTCATTCATTCAACTCACAGATAGTTACTGTGCACTTCTGGGTGACAGGTCCTAGAAAGTACTGAAGGTCCTGAGGATAAATAAGAAAGAACGGGTCCCTGCACTTGTGGAGCTGGAAATCTGGTGAGTGGAGAGAGATCAGGAACAAGCAATACAAGTTCCGTTGTGGTACATGCTTCTGTAAGGAAAGGGCCTCTGCTTTAGATAGTGGGCTCTAAAAAGGCCTCTCTAAGAAGGTGACATTTGAGCTAAGACCTGAGGGAGGAGTCAGCCTTTTGAAGTGCTGGATGAGGAGCCAGAAAGACATAATTCTCCAGGAATAGTAAGTGCAAAGTCCTCCAGAAGAGAATGAGCTTGGCACATTTGAGGAACTGAGTGTAGGCGGGGGGTGGGGATGCAGCATGAAATGAGGTAAGAAGGGGCAGCCGGTGAAATCAGGCGGGGCATAGTTCCAGGGTGTCTGGCTCAGAGTCCACTCTACCATTATGACAACCTTATTTCAGTGACAGATATTCCTCTTTGTCGACATACGTTGCACAATTTCACAGGAAAGTAGAGTATAAAACTGCTTGAAGTGAGATGTCTAGGTATTTCCCTAGGATCATTCAAAGGGACGTCCTTACCGTACGAATTCATCAGGCGTTTCCTTTTGCAGGCTAAGAAAAAAGAATTCGTCTATCAGGGGTTGACATATATTCAGCAAGCTTGTGAGATTTTGGCATATATCTGGCATGGCCGAGTATTAATTTGCATGACAACTCTACCTTCCAAAAATCCACACATTCCCCACCAGCACCTTTTCATCTGTAGCTGCTCCATGTGGGAAGACATCCTCTATCCAGATTCTTGGAACTGGAATGTGGGGACTAGGACACTTAGAGATGGACCCGAATGACACACCAAGAAGAGAAAAGTGCTATCTTTCATCTAGTGAGAGCTCGCTCGGGACCTCTCCTCTTAATGCTTCTGTTGCTGCTCCCACCGCTTCAACAGGCCGTCCCTTCAGATGGCTTTGTACACCTGTGCACTGATGCTCCCCACTTGTCTGATCTTAAGAATCACCAGGGCACCTGGATGGCTCAGTCAGTTGAGCATCTGACTCTTGATTTCAGTTCAGTTCATGATACCAGGCTCGTGGGACCAGACCCACATCCGGCTCTTCGCTGAGTGTTGGGATTCTCAGCCTGGTTGGATTCTCTCTCTCTCTCTCTCTCCCTCTGCCCTTCTCCCCCACTTGCGGACATGCTCTCTCTCTAAAATAAAAAAAATAATAAAATAAAATATTTACATATAAAAAAAAAAGAATCACCAGGGGCTCTTGATAGAAACATGGACTTCCAGGCCCACTCCCAGAAGATTCTAATTTAGAAGGTTTTGGTGAGGGCTGCAAATATGAGTGCCTTCTACTAGCAGCCCAGGTGATTCTTACCAAGCGTGCTTAGGAAACTCTACTTTGAGGTTCTTCAGAGTTTTCTAACTTAGCGTTTTCCAAACTGATCCAATCACAAAATGACCTAGAACATTTTCTAAATATACAAATTCTCAAGTCCCAGCCCAAAAGAATCGGAATTATCAGGCAAGGGGCCTGGGAATCTGTATGGTACTAAACAGCCAACGTTCATCTTGTGACAGGGGAAGTTTAGTAAACACTCTAATTGAGACTCACATGGAAACTTTAAGATTTAAGATTCTGATTCACTACATCTTTTTGGGGGGCAGGGAGGGAAAGAGAGAATCTCAATAAGGCTCCATCCATGTTCAGCACAGAGCCCCACATGGGTCTCAATCCCACGACCCTGGGATCATGACCTGAGTCAGATGCTCAACCAACTGAGCCACCCAGGCGCCCCCTGATTCACTACACCTACAGAGGAACTCAGAGATCTGCCTTTTAAAATAAACTCCCAGGTGATTCTGAGGTGTAAGGTTCATGGACTCCCACTTTGAGAAACACAGCAGTCAAGTTTAATATTATTACAACTCATACCTTTGTTCTTAACGCCAAAGCATTGACAGCATTTACTATGAACTTGCACATCTCCTTGCCTTTGCAAATGGTGTTCACAAACCCCATCTCTGTGTTTTTAAAACCTTAATACTTAACTTTATTTTTCAATTTTTTAATTAAGAAAAATTTCAAACACACAGAAAATGCGGAAAGATAGTTCAGTGTGCACCCATTATACTCACCGCCTGGTTCAACACTTGCCACATACATTTTAACCATGTACCTTTTTGCTAAACAATTTCAAACTAAGCTGCAGACATCTTGACCCCTCACCCAAACACCTCAGCATGAATATCCTTTAAAAACAAACAAACAAAAAAAACAACTATTCTCTTTCATGACCACAATACGATGGTCACATCTAACAAAACTAATAACTAATAATAATCGCCTAATACCAATATCAGTATCCCCAATTGTCCCCCAATGTCTTTAATAGCTAATTTTTCAAGCCTGGAGGCAATAAGGGATAACACATTGCATATGGTTGTTATATGCCTTCTGTCTCTTTTAATCTAGGACAGCCCTTCCACCATTTTTTTCAGACCAGTTGTCTTTGAGAATATCCCTCTTTCTGGATTTGTCTGATTGTTCCCTCGTGGGGTTGTACCAAACATACAAATAAACATTCTCATACAAATATGTGTATTTGTATTTATAGCATATTTACAGAGAGACACAAAAGTTTGTTTGCTCTCTGCCATCCCACATAACCTTTCTCCTCTCAATCATATTTAATAATATTATCCAACACTATATGCCTGCACTGTTTTAAGAAATTTAAATGTATTAACTTATTTACTCATAACAATTAGGTAGATTTGTTACCAATGAAATTAAGGCACAGAGTGGGAAGTGACTAGTAAAAGGTCAAATGGCTAGTCAGTTGATAGGGTTGTGTTCCAAGACTCAGGACTCTTGCTTTAGAACTGGATCTCTTAACCACAAAAACAGAATCATAGCATAAACATTATTCTATGACTTAAAAAATGCTTATTTCTAGGCCAATACATAGAAATTTGACTCATCATTTTTATCCCCAACAATTTATTATACACATGAGTATACAAAAAAATTGGAAGAATTGAATGCTTAATACCTATACACTCTAGATTCTATAATTAACATTTTTTTCATGTTTATCACATATTGCTTTACCTATAATCCCTTTATCCATCAATCTATCATATTTCTGATGCATTTTTTCCAACTATAACTCATTTTTAAAAACAGTTGTATAAGACTTACAGTATGGAGGTTTGATAATTTATTCACACATTACTCTGCAGTCTAGTGTTTTGCTATATAAATAATGCTGAAATTAACATTCTTGTATATTTTTGTATACCTTACAGTAATAATGCTATAGTTGCAGTAGGATAGATTCCTAAAATTTTGCCCATCTCTGTTGAAACTATCCAATGAGCACCAACACATAAGGCACCAGATGCCTACTGTATTTCTGAAATTTCTGGCAGAATTTCTGCCTCCTCTGGTATTGTTCAACACTGTGTGCAATCTTCCCCTAGACCTACTGTGTACTGTACCTTTCAGTGAAATGTGTGTGTGTGCGTGTGTGCGCACGCACACCCCCATACTTTATGTTCTCCACTAGAGATTAAAGAGACCATGCCCTCTCTTCGACTTTTGTATCCTCCATTTGCCCTGCACAGTGATTTATATTAGATAAATACTTCTTGTTGAATGAATTAGTGAATGAAATTCTGGAGAAAAGTCCAGAGCAGCAGATAGTGGCCAAATGCTGGAGTCTTTGTATTTCAGGCCAAAGAGCTTGGAATGTATTCAATGTTGATTCAGAAACCACAGGAAGTGTCTGAACCAAGGGCTGGAAAGACAAGAATGTTGAGGCCATGAGGCACAGTAATGAGGCTAGGACAAGACCCTGGAGGAAGCAAACAGACTCCTAAACAATTATTAGGAGTTGAAGAACTAAGTTTTACAGTGTAGTTTTTTCAGAATACTTTCTACATTTAATTTTAGTCAGTTGTTTTGAGCTTATGCAGTGTTTTGTTTTAACTTTTGTATGTATGGTGGAAAAATTAGACAATATAGAGAAACAAGATAATAATCCTCAGTAATTCCATCATCCAGGGAAATCACCAGTAGTTACCATCATGGTGGAAATCTTTTCAACACCTTTTTCTATGCATATATGCAATAAAATCTATATTTTAATATATAATGGATATATGAAGTTTTATTTCTTTCCTCATTTTTATTATTTATTTTATAATTATTTATCACTATTTTATTATTAAATTTTATGTATAAATATATTTACATATTAAATAAAAATTATACATATAACTTATATGTAAGGTTTTATATATATATATATATATATATATATTAGATAGAAAACGCCATCTGTAATGTTAGATAGAAAACACCATGTTTGATAGAAAATGTTAGATAGAAAACACCATGTATCTCAAACATTGTATCTTAAACATCTATCTTAAACCTGACACAGAATAAATGCTCAATATAGATTTATTAAATGATTGAATTAATGAAAAATATTCATTGTCATTCACCCTTTGGTGGAGATTTTAATACTTAGTCAAAAAAAATTTTTTTTAATGTTTATTTTTGAGACAGACAGAGACAGTGTGAGCGGGGAGGGGTAGATAGAGAGGGAGACACAGAATCCGAAGCAGGCTCCAGGTTCTGAGCTGTCAGCACAGAGCCCATCCTGGGGCCTGAACTCATGAACCACAAGATCATGACTTGAGCCAAAGTCTGATGCTCAACCGAGTCACCCAGGCACCCCCAGATTTTAATACTGCTAACACTTTTGCTAATTAATAAAGCAAATAATTAAAGATCACTTGTTCTAATGTCTCTATAACTAATACACTTTTTCTTGTTTTATGTTATTACTCCTAGAACTATGAATTTAAAATCCATAGACATGGGCTCCTGGAGATAGCTTATTGATATAAACAATACCTAAACATGTTCTTAAGCAGTGACTTATAAACATAGCACTGATTTAGCTGGACTTAGTCATCTTTGAAACATTTGAACATTTGAGTTATTTGATAAAAAGTATTACTCACCGAGCAAACACTAATTTCTTTCCTTTGCAGAGTCTAGGGAGGAGAAAAACAAAAGAATGTTAAAAGAATGTGAATTCATTTGATATTCTGATCTATCTTTTGTTTGGTACACCATGATGGACTCAGTACCTGTGCTCTGTGTACTCACTGCCTAACCCACTGCCTGGCATAAAGTAGGTGAACAATAGGTATTTTTCAAATGACTAAATAAAAAATAGTGAACACAGACATAACAACAATGTCCTCTATCTCATATTTTCATTGCTTTTCCAAGGGGGTGTGAACCTTTAGTACTTGTTAGCTACTTCTTAATTATCCATAAAAATTGGATACAGGTTCATATAGGAAAATTCCACATTTAATACACAAACATATATTTAGCTGATAGTATTCCTTTCCTTCCTTCAGAGTCTTGACTTCACTCTGAGGAATAATGAAGCAGCCTCACTGGGTTTTATCTATATTCTCTGTCTTAACAGAGAAAAGGCCCAGAGGCATGGGAAATCACGAGTATTGTCATCCCACAAAAACAAGGGGGACTGGTAACTCATTCCTGCTCATCTTTGTATTTCTCAAAAGTAGCTCAAAAATTAACTAAATCAAGATCTTTTACAGCAAGGCTGCTGTAAGAACTACATTTTTCCAGTAGGTGGTAGTATTTTCTTTCTTCAGCATTAGAATTTTTGAAGATTGCCTCAAGGTTTGTTGGCTTTGGTTTTTTTTAGTTTTACTATTCCTTTAGTAATCTGCAGGTGACAATAAATACGTTAATGAAACTGATGTTTCTTCCACTTAAAAAAAAAAATATCATTCTTGAGGGCTTTCAAAGGCTCCAGATGGAGAACTTCTGCTTTGGCTGCCATTGATAGCAAAGTATATACCAGGGTAGACTGTGCTGGAACTCTCCTTCCCACTTCCCGATATTAGTTATTACTAAGGACTAGCTAATTGACAGTAATGTCTTGGAGAAAATGCTATGACAAGATTTTCTGCCTCTATAATAATAACGCAAAACAAAAATAAAACATTGACCCTAGGATTCTCGATTTTTGGGAAGACAGTCATTAAATTATGCAGATACCTTTCCTGGCTGGTTAATAATGATCTTAAACAATTATTCACATATCCTATTTTAACGAAAACCTCTAAACTTCTGCAGCCCCACAAGACCTTTCGATACCCCCAACAGAGGGTTAGGTACTGTCACGTGTCTGACACAGAGTACAAGGTGCAGGAACTAGGTTTGAGGAAGGAAGGAAAGATTGAAATTCCAGGGGCATATCATATGCTGTAGTTGAAAAACGGAAGTGTGAATTAGTGGAATAATATCTCAAATACTTTATCCTCAAAAATACTGTGTTCACGAGAGTAGGGAAGGCTGGGTCTGAAGCACGTATTTCACTGGTTTCTCAGAAGTACTCTTATAAACAAAGCTTCAAGTTGCTGGAGAAAGTGTTCAAGGGCTCAGTGTTTCACTGAAAACACGGAGATAGCCCGGATTTGGCCATCAAGTCCACCCGTGAATATTCACCTGATAAAAGAAGGTACAGCGATTTTCAGGTTTTAGGGGATTTTTAACCCCTACTACTAACCCTCTACTTTGGAGACCATACCCGGCGGCGCTTTTCCAGCCCACCTTAGGCTGCTCCACTGGCCGCCGCACCCCGCTATTCTCTTCCGCGCCGGTGGAACACTGACCCAGACACGGCCTCGGCCTCGCGCACTGCCCAGGTCCAGGTCAACCGCCCAGGCTGGAGACTCCGACGCGCTGACAGGTGGCCTCGCTCGCCTTCCTGCCGCCCAGGGCGGCGCTCTTCTCCCACTCCACACGAGAGTACTCAGGCAGAGCTCCCAGGCTGGTCCCAGAGGTCGGGTGGCTTCCCGAGGGGAGAGAGAGGCCCAAGAGGGGGGCCGGGTGGCCCGCGAGGCCGCCGACGAGAGCAAAGGGCAGCCAAGGCCAGAGCCAGGTGAGGGGTGATTAGGCCAGGCACTTCTCGGGACCCTTAGACAAGGGCCACAAGGAAGGAGGCCGGCACCCAGGCACGCCCAGCTCAGTGCACCGCCCCTGGGCCTCGGAGACCCCCGGAACCCTTCCACGCCCCCCGCGGCAGGGACCCCACGTCTCCACCGCCCGCCGGGCAAACAGATCTGCCACCCCCGGGCCCCAGGAGGACTCAGGGGTCACTCGAGTCGGCGAACCACATTCCCAAGGACGAGCAGCCGGTGGCAGCACCGCCCCCTCTCAAGAGCCCTCCGAGTCGTCTACTGCCAGCGCTCGGGCGACTCGAGGGCCCCGACCCCTCCAGAACTCTCAGACTGCCGGGGAGGAATTCACTCGGACCCCTCCCCTTCCCCAAACTTCTTCCCTCCGCCGGGCGGTTCTTCCAACCCGACCCCTCCGCGCCATCCGGCTCCTCCCTCTCCGCTCCCCTCCCCTTTTCTGGTCCCCACGTAGGAATCCGCCCCCCCACCCCCGTCGCCCGCGGGGTCCGGGGATCCTCCCCTCGACTCCCCCCGCGTGCCGCCGCCGCCGCCCGGGTTCCTCTCCCCCCTCTCGGGCGCTCCCTGCCAAGCCCATGATGTAATGGTGTATGTTAATCAGTAGCATGTGGGGAGCTCCGGCTCGGCGGCTCAGTCCTCCGCGAGCCGACACTGGAGGCGGCAGCAGCGGCGGCGGCGGCGGCCCGGACTCGCAGCACCGCACTCTCTGAGCGCCGCCCGCCCCGACGGCATGGCCCGCAGCCCGCGCTCCGGGCGCCCAGACCCTCGCTGAGAGCCGCCTCGGCCCCCGACCCGCGCACGGGGCCCCGAGCCGCCGGGATGAGCCGCGCCGAGGTGAGCGCCCCCACCCTTCCGACCGCGGCAGGGGACCCGCCGGTCACTGGGTTATCCTCCCAAGAGACTTCCCCCTCTACTCGAGAAGTTCTGGGAGGCGGGAAGCGGGGTGCCGGCAGCGAGCGGCCCCTCGAGGGTTGGCCGCTGGGCTCTTCTCTCCGCCGCCAGCCGCCACCGGACAGGGATAGGACTGGGGGAGCCCCCGAAGCTGAACTTTCTTCTTTGCGGTCGTTGGGGGGCGTGTGCGGGCGGCGCTGAGCCGCAGTCTCGGCGGAGCCGCCCTGCCCGCCGGGGGAAGCAGTGCTTCGAACTCCGGCTGTCTCCGCGCTCGGCGCGCGCCTGGAGCCGTTCCGCCTTCGGCCTGGGAAGCGCGGGCGAGGCGCTGGGCTGGCCGGACCCGCCCGTAGGCGGTGGCAGCCGGGGCAGAATGCCTAAAGCACACACGCGCGTACACACAAACGCACACGCACGCACACATCTGATCGCTCAGGGCAAAGCAGGCCCTCGGAGACCTCCCGGGTGGGCTGGAGAGGCGCGGCGCGGGGGAGCCGGGGCTCGGGCTGCGCCTCCGCCCGCTGGGCACGGAGCTTTGGGTGGGGAGTTTATTTTTGTCTCGAGCTGCTGCCGCGGCTGCTCACGGCCTAAATCCAGAGGGGCGCCTGGCGGCGGAGATGCTGGCTGTTGCTGTAGATGGAGCTGCAGCCGCTCGGCTGCTTCTCCGGGAGGTGGAGGAGGAGGAGTGGGAGGAGGGGGAGGTAGAGAAGGAGGAGGTGGAGGAGGAGGAGTGGGAGGAGGGGGAGGAGGGGGAGGAGGAGGAGGAAGGAACTCGGGCTGCCGCTGCCTCCGCCTCTGTTTTGCATTAGCCCCCACCCCCACCCCCGCGCCCCTTCGCAGCCGCATTGCAAGTTTTCCGCGCGAGGAAGATCTGTTGCTGGTGCTGGCGTTTGCAGGCTCAGCCCTCGAGGCCACCCCGGGTGGTGTGTGTAGGGAGCACCAGCCGTTCGCAGAGGCAGCAACAGGAAGCCGTGGGGTCTACTCCCGCACCTGGGAAGGAGGCTTCTGGCCATTCCCGGAACGGGAATAGCTCATCTCCCGCATCCGGGTGCGGAGGGGGCGGCCGGAATTTGAGGGGACCAAACCCCCAGCGGGGCGCCCCCCCCCGCCCCCTCTGATGCGCTCGTTTCCCGGGCGCGCTCCCTCGCTGGCCGAGGTCTCACTGCAGCCTTTCTCTCCTTCCAGTGGTGATCGCCGCTCGGGAATGCGGGTGTGAAGGGTCCGAGCTGCCGCCCAGCGGGGAAGAGACCCCGGGACGCCGGAAATCACCATCCCGGAGCTGCGAAAGGGGGGGGGGGGGGAAGAGCATTCTTTCAGTTTGTGTGCCTTGTGGGGAATTTTTTTTTAATCGTTATTTTTTTAAAAAGAAACATTTCCGTGCTACTGTCTGTCATCATCTCTGGGGAAATCAGCCAGAACCACCGGAACATAACTGAAACCAGACGAGAGAGGCAGGAGCCGAGGCAGTACCTGCAGCGTCCGGGCACCGGAGCCACCTTGGAACGGGAACGCGTCTCCGGCGGCCGCGGGGCTGCGGCTCCGCCAAACTTTGGGGCGGGCGGGGCGGGCTGGGGCGCCGAGGGGGCTTCGTAGACCGAGGGCCGCCCCCTAACCATGATGTTTCGCGACCAGGTCGGGGTGCTGGCGGGCTGGTTTAAGGGCTGGAACGAGTGCGAGCAGACTGTTGCGCTGCTGTCTCTGCTTAAGCGCGTGAGCCAGACCCAGGCCCGTTTCCTCCAGCTCTGCCTGGAGCACTCGCTGGCCGACTGCGCCGAGCTGCACGTCCTCGAAGGCGAGGCCAACAGCCCCGGTAAGTGCGCGGCCGCCGCTGTCCCTCCTGTTCCCCCCTTTCTCCTTCCCCTATCCCCTCCTGCTTCCCAGCCTCGGGCCTGGGCCCCGCCCCCGGCCGCCTCCCAGCGGGTACACCGAGGGCGCGGGCCGGGGCCCTTGGCATGTCACCCTTCCCTGCCCCCCCCCACCCCCAGACCCTGCGCCCACTTACCTCCGCTGGCCGATTTGGTTTTTTGCCCACTGTCAACTCCTTCAGCCCATTCCGTGTGGTAGCCACGGTAGCATGAATGATTGATTTTTCTCTCATGCAGTTTCCTGGGAAATAAGTAAGTCAGGTCACGTAGAGTCTGGATTTTCTGGGCTTTTTTTTTTTTTTTTTTTTTTTCCTTCTTCTTTTGGGCAACGTGGCTCTCTGGATTTCAGCAACACATGAAGAAACCCGGGCTGCCCTTCAGAGAGCCAAGCTTTGATTAGGCTGTATGAAGGATACATGAAAATTCAATTTTATTATTCATTTTTCCCCATGGATATTACAGTTTCAGAGCTCTGTCTTCAGACTAATATGCAGGTGACGCTACATTCGCAGTTTGTATACTATGAGGTTATACTTCTTTATCACGACCTCGTCGTGTCGATGTGGATCTTGTAGAAACGGTCTTACAGAAAGGGTTTCGGTAGAGAGCAGGCATGAATCAGGGTCCTTCATATTTTTGTTGGAAAACTTTACTGAATATAACAGAATCGTTTCATATTTGCAGACCTCTCCACTAGTATAGAAAATGAATGTACTGGAAAGGTTCAGCAGTTTTCTATTTGCTAGCATGGCTGGTGACAGACTGAAATTATATCCTGGGGTGGGGAGGTGGGGTGAGGATGGGGGGTAGGGGCAAGGTCCGTTGTAATTTTGGATAGGGGAAATTCTTTAGTTCCTGCTGCAGCAGGAGGGTGAACAGAGCCCCCAGTGTTTACACAGAGAAAAGAATGCAGGGTCCTCTTCCAGCTGTTCCGTGTTAAAGCCTCCAGCCTGCGAGACTCAGCAGAGGTCTGGGCTGCCATTTGATGACAAGGTCCAGTTGAGGGCAGCAGGGCCTGGGAGACACTAAAGTGAGTGTGCGGTCAGGGCAGCAAGAGGAGAGCTGGCCTCCTCCTTACTCCTCCTCCCTGGTGTGGTGCTCATGAGGCTGAAAACCCTTGGATGGGTTGTTTCCATATATAGAATCAGAGGCTGGAAGTGAGCCGGGAAATCCTCACAGCCCTTTTCCTGACCAGACAGGGCTGCACCCAGAGGTCCCTGTGCCTCCAGGTGTGGAAGGCCGCACTGAGACAGATCACACAGGCCCCCGTGGGATTCAGCAAGAGCCCAAACAGCACCCCCTGTTACAAGGGTGGCAGGGGCAGGGCCCCTTCTGTTCAGTTACACATTTATAAATAGCTGAAGGGCCAGGCTCCTTCCTAAGGGTGTGGGAGCATAACTAGGAAGACTGATGATCTGCTCTCTTGACTTCTGTGCTTGATGTGACAGGGTAGTCTGGTTCACCTGCTTGATATTGTTTCCTCGGGTTTGACAAACAAGGTTATGTAAACTTTCGTGTGTTATAGACTGCAGGGGATTTAAGTACAGTAATTTGTGTGGAACGCTTGACTTCAGTGCTTGAAGGGACTGTTTAAAATAATGAATCTTCAGGTGACTCAAATGTTGGAGCAACATTCTTGCCCTTTGGGTTAAAGGAGACTTTTCCCCATATAGTAGCAGTTCAGTAAGTGAAGCCATTAAATGTGTGGTGTAGAAAGAAATCACTTACTTTAAAAGTCTC